GGATTGTTTCCTACAGATGGAGGGCAAAATCTTGGCCCGGAAGGCACAGCGCCACCTACTGGAAGCGAAGAAAATAGAAGCCTAACAGTGCCCTCCTTTTTTTTCTCTCTCTTTCCCTTTTTTTTAAATTTTTTAATTTTTTCAATTTTTTAATTTTAATTTTTTCTTTTTTAAGTATATTATTATTTTTTAATTGTAATTTTTATTTTACTGCATTTTATTATTTTTTTTATCATTTCTTTTTCTTTTCTATTCTTCTCTCTTCCTCTCTCTTTCTTGGTTTGCTTCCTTACCTTTTCCCCATCTTTCCTCTTAAGCATGACCACCCAGATTACATACAATTTACTAAATGCAAATAGATGAATACTATGAATCGGTCTATAGTCCGCCTAAGCCCTTAACTACCCCCAAGTATTCCTGTCTATTCTCTTGTTAATATCCGCCTGCATTTGAGCAACCCCCCAAAGAAGCTAACATATACTAACCTCCATACCCTCAAATCACCCGACCTCAACATAAAATCCTAAGTTCAAACCTCAAATCTATATATGCCATCAAAATCTGTAGGCCTTTAATGAAACTAATGAATTTACCTTAAATCACAATTAAATCCAACATCTCTAAACATTGTCTCCCAACACAAAGGAGAGATATTGGAACCATAAAAACCAAAACAAATTTAAGAAGAAAACAGAAACACAGCAGTTAAACAGAGTTGGAAAGTAACGTGAGCACCATGAAAAAACAAGGGAAAAATGATTAAAAACAATGTAGGACAACTTAAATCCACAGGAGAACCTAGAGGCATCAGAAAAATGGACAGAGAAAGAACTCAAGGCATACCTAATTCAGATAGAACGGAATCTTAGAGAACACTTTAGACAGCAAGTCCAAACAATGAAAGTATACTTTGAAAATGAATTACATAAGCAAATTCAGATGGCAAAGAATGAGCTCTACCAGGAGATAGAGATTTTTTTAAAAAATCAAACGGTAATCCTAGAAATGCAGGAAACCAAAAACCAAATTAAAAACTCAAACGAGAATATTACAAATAGCCTAGATCAAATAGAAGTCAGAACATCAGATAATGAAGACAAAGTTTATCAACTTGAAAAGAATATAGTCAACACAGAATGGATCCTAAGAAATCACGAGCAATCCATCCAAGAGATATGGGATGTCATAAAAAAACCAAACTTGAGAGTCATTGGGATAGAAGAAGGTGTAGAGGTTCAAACCAAAGGAATGAACAATCTATTGAATGAAATAATCTTAGAAAACTTCCCAGATATGAAAGATGGAATGGATTGCCAAATCCTGGAAGCCTACAGGACCCCAAACATACAAAACCGTAATAGACCAACTCCAAGACACATAATTATGAAGATATCCAACATACAGAACAAGGAGAGAATATTAAAAGCTACGAGAGAAAGGAGGCAGATTATATTCAGGGGAAAACCAATTAGGTTAACGGCTTATTTTTCATCACAGACGTTGAAAGCGAGAAGAACCTGGAACAACGTATTTCAAACGCTGAAAAATAATGGATTCCAACCAAGAATACTGTATCCAGCAAAATTAAGCTTCAGATTTGACAATGAAATTAAAATATTTCACGATAAACAAAAGTTAAAAGAATTTGCAGCCAGAAAACCAGCACTGCAAGGCATTTTGAGCAAAACACTACAAGAAGAGGAATGAAAAACAGCACCCAAAACTAACAGTGGGAGGTAACTCAGTAAGGGAAGAAAAAAATAACCAAAAAGGAAAAACTAGCCAAATTAAAATAAATAAATAAATAAGCATGAATGGAAGTATAAACCATATATCAATAGTAACCTTAAACGTTAATGGCTTAAATTCACCAATCAAGAGACATGGGTTAGTAACCTGGATTAAAAAAACAAATCCAACAATATGCTGCCTTCAGGAGACTCATATGATAGGAAAAGACATACACAGGCTGAAGGTGAAAGGTTGGGAAAAATCATACCACTCACATGGTCCTCGGAAGCAAGCAGGAGTGGCCATACTCATATCGAATAAAATCAACTTCAAACCTAAGTTAATCAAAAGGGATAAAGAAGGACATTATATACTGTTAAAAGGAACCATCCACCAACAAGACATAACAATTATCAATATGTATGCACCAAACAATGATGCTGCAACATTCATAAAACAAACTCTCCTCAAGTTCAAGAGTCCAATAGACCACAAGACAATAATTATGGGTGACTTCAACACACCACTCTCTCCATTGGACAGATCCACCAGACAAAAGCTGAATAAAGAAACTATAGAACTCAATAACACAATCAATAACCTAGACTTAACCGACATATATAGAATATATCAACCATCATCAAGTGGATACACGTTCTTCTCAGCAACACATGGATCCTTCTCAAAGATAGACCATATATTATGCCATAGGGCAACTCTTAGTAAATATAAAGGTGTGGAGATAATACCATGCATCTTATCTGATCATAATGGAATGAAACTGGAAATCAATGATAAAAGAAGGAAGGAAAAATCCTGCATCACCTGGAAAATGAACAATATGTTACTAAATGATCAATGGGTTACAGAAGACATAAAGGAGGAAATAAAAAAATTCTTAGAGATAAATGAAAATACAGACAAAACATATCAGAATGTATGGGACACAATGAAAGCAGTTTTAAGAGGGAAATTCGGGCGCAGGCGCGGCAGCCCAGCCGGAGTGCGGAGGAGGCTCGGAGAGGAGCTGACGCTGCTGGCCAGGATGGTACTTGAGAGCGTGGCCCGCATCGTGAAGGTGCAGCTCCCGGCTTATCTTAAGCGGCTCCCAGTCCCGGAGAGCATTACCGGCTTCGCCCGGCTCACAGTTTCAGAATGGCTTCGGTTATTGCCTTTCCTTGGTGTACTTGCACTACTTGGCTACCTTGCAGTCCGTCCATTCTTCCCGAAGAAAAAACAACAGAAGGATAGCTTGATAAATCTTAAAATACAAAAGGAAAACCCTAAAGTGGTGAATGAAATAAACATTGAAGATTTGTGTCTTACTAAAGCAGCTTATTGTAGGTGTTGGCGTTCAAAGACGTTTCCTGCCTGTGATGGTTCCCACAATAAACATAATGAATTGACAGGAGATAATGTGGGTCCACTCATACTGAAGAAGAAATAAGTGTAATAGTAATGATTTAGGATTGGTCAATTGTGTGCTGTAAAATCTTCCAACAACATTTTCTCATTCTTTGTGTATAGAAAATCTTTGAAATGGTGGTTTTAATTATTACTACTGGCTGAATAATTATTTCTGCCAATTTATTTTCTTGCTACACTACTGTTTATATTTGATACTTAGTATATTCAAAGTCATTTATGTAGAAGTTATTTGTCAAGCCTCATTCTGACTTCAAAGAATTAATGTATATTTCGGCAATAAAATCCATACTTCTGGTTTTAATTAATTTAGAAATTAAAATTTTGGCAATGTGTCCAACACTGTTTCTTTTGATAATTAATAATTCAACAGAATCCGTACTTTAAAATTTCCCTACACTGTTAAATATATTATTTTTTATATTTCTTTGTTTTGATCCTTTGAAATGATTTTATCTTCCTTTGGCCTTCACACTCTGATTTTTTAGGTGAATTAAGAAAAATATTACCATCAAGAATTACTTAAGGTTACAGAGATAAGCTTTTTTGCTTTATAGAAATTGTTGTTTCATTAATATAAATACCCCAATTTCAAAAAAGAAGTAAACTGGATATAAAAAGTTCCAATGAGGAATAGTTATTTACATTATAAAAGATTTGTTTACTTTACAAAAGGCACATTGTGTGTGTATGTATTGTGTGTCTGTCTGAGCTAGTGACAGCTGGGGGTAGGGTGGCAAGAACATTTAATATCTAAATGTACCTGCTGCTGCAATTTGAGGTCAGTTAGAAATAAAAGCATATCTGAATTCAGATTAAAATGTTAAATAGTTCAAAGTTACATTTACATGAACATTTTTCTCTTAATAGTATAAATCATTAAAACAAAACGTTAAAATATTTTCAAAATAAATTTAATGAACAATCTTCAAAATATTTACAAACATTTTCTTTTTAACATACACTGAGCCACATCCCCAGCCCTTTTTTGTATTTTATTTAGAGACAGGGTCTCACTGAGTTTCTCAGCGTCTCACTAAATTGCCGAGGCTGGCTTTGAATTAGAGATCCTCTCACCTCAGCCTCCCAATCTGCCAGGATTACAGGCAGTACCACCATGTACAGTACAGTTCTTATAATAATAGCTGCTTAAGTTAGGCTTTTTCTTTTCTTTTTGGTATTGGGAGTTGAACTTAGGGGTGCTTTACCGTTGAGCTACATCCCCAGCCCTTTTCATTTTTATTTTGAGAAAGGTCTCACTAAGTTGCTTACCGCCTTGCTGTGTTACTGAGGCTGGCTTCAGACTTGTGATCCTTCTGCCTCAGCCTCCCAAGTAGTTAGGATTATAGGCGTATGTCTGTTTATTAAAGGTACAATCCATTCAGTTCACAGTTTTCTCTTTTATATGTAGAGGTGCCAGGAGTCAGGCATTTAATTCTTCCAGTAATAAAGCTAATAATTATTGAGCATTTATATGTATCTGGCACTTCACTAACATGGTAGTTGGATTTTGAATTTATTACATGTAATGTCAATAGGCTGTACTGCCTGATCTTAACTTTCTTGTGATTAATAGCAAAAATTTTAGTTAGAAATCTAGTCTGTAGTTTCTAAGAAGTCCAAAATTATTGTTCTTTCCTCTTCCCATTTATCAGTGAAGGAAAAATACAACATTGCTCTCACTTCTTTTTTTTTTTTTTCCTGTGACTTTTATTCAGTACCCTTAAGGGCTTCACTGTCAGGAGTAACCAATTATTTTTTCTACAGTTGGTTCCAAGACTTGGAGAAAGTCCTCCTTACCAAAAGTTTATATATTCTTGTCTGTGTGTTTGTGGTCATGAAATGTTGGGGTTTTTTTGTTTTGTTTTGTTTTGTTTTTGTAAAACCATTCACTGTAACTCAGCAACATGTCTCTAAACATGTTCTAGTGTTTTCCATACTTAGATTTCACAGAAGATAAATTTTTTGAAAATATGTAGTCTAAAATGAAATTGTCAACTTTTCATTGTGTCAAATAAATAAGAGCACTTAAAATAAAAAAAAAAAGAGGGAAATTCATTGCCTGGAGTTCATTCCTCAAAAAAAAGAAAAAAACAATAAATAAATGAACTCACACCTCATCTCAAAACCCTAGAAAAGGAAGAGCAAAACAATAGAAAAGGTAGTAGAAGGCAAGAAATAATTAAAATCAGAGCAGAAATCAATGAAATCGAAACAAAAAAACCATTGAAAAAAATTGATAAAACTAAAAGTTGGTTCTTTGAAAAAATAAATAAGATTGACAGACCCTTAGCCATGCTAACTAAGAGAAGAAGAGAGAGAACTCAAACTACTAACATACAGGATGAAAAAGGCAATATCACAACGGACACTACAGAAATACAGAAGATAATTAGGAATTAGTTTGAAACCCTATATTCCAATAAAATAGAGGATAGTGAAGATATCGATAAATTTCTTAAGTCATATGAATTGCCCAGATTGAGTCAGGAAGATACACACAATTTAAACAGACCAATAACAAAGGAGGAAATAGAAGAAGCCATCAAAAGACTACCAACCAAGAAAAGCCCTGGACCGGATGGATATACAGCGGAGTTTTACAAAACCTTCAAAGAAGAATTAATATCAATACTTTTCAAGTTATTTCAAGAAATAGAAAACGAAGGAGCTCTTCCAAATTCATTCTATGAGGCCAACATCACCCTGATCCCGAAACCTGACAAAGACACTTCAAAGAAGAAAACTACAGACCAATATCTCTAATGAACCTAGATGCAAAAATCCTCAATAAAATCCTGGCAAATCGAATACAAAAGCGTATCAAAAAAATTGTGCACTATGATCAAGTAGGATTCATCCCTGGGATGCAAGGCTGGTTCAATATACGGAAATCAATAACTGTTATTCACCACAACAATAGACTTAAAGATAAGAACCACATGATTATCTCGATAGATGCAGAAAAAGCATTTGACAAAGTATAGCATCCCTTTATGTTCAAAACTCTAGAAAAACTAGGGATAACAGGAACTTACCTCAACATTGTAAGAGCTATATATGCTAAGCCTCAGGCTAGCATCATCCTGAATGGAGAAAAACTGAAGGCATTCCCTCTAAAAACTGGAACAAGACAGGGATGCCCTCTCTCACCACTTCTATTCAATTTAGTTCTCGAAATACTAGCCAGAGCAATTAGACAGACAAAAGAAATTAAAGGCATAAAAATAGGAAAAGAAGAACTTAAATTATCACTGTTTGCGGATGATATGATACTATATCTAACAGACCCAAAAGGGTCTACAAAGAAACTATTAGACCTAATAAATGAATTCAGCAAAGTGGCAGGATATAAAATCAACAGGCATAAATCAAAGGCATTCCTGTATATCAGTGACAAATCTTCTGAAATGGAAATGAGGATAACCACCCCATTCACAATATCCTCAAAAAAATAAAATAAAATACTTGGGAATCAACCTAACAAAAGCGGTGAAAGATTTATACAATGAAAACTACAGAACCCTAAAGAGAGAAATAGAAGAAGACCTTAGAAGATGGAAAAATATACCCTGTTCATGGATAGGAATAACTAACATCATCAAAATGGCGATATTACCCAAAGTTCTCTATAGGTTTAATGCAATGCCAATCAAAATCCCAATGGCATTTCTTGTAGAAATAGATAAAGCAATCATGAAATTCATATGGAAAAACAAAAGACCCAGAATAGCAAAAGCAATTCTAAGTAGGAAGTGTGAATCAGGCGGTATAGCGACACCAGATTTCAAACTATACTACAGAGCAATAGTAACAAAAACAACATGGTACTGGTACCAAAACAGGCGGGTGGACCAATGGTACAGAATAGAGGACACAGAGACCAATCCACAAAACTACAACTTTCTTATATTTGATAAAGGGGCTAAAAGCATGCAATGGAGGAAGGATAGCATCTTCAACAAATGGTGCTGGGAAAACTGGAAATCCATATGCAACAAAATGAAACTGAATCCCTTTCTCTCGCCATGCACAAAAGTTAACTCAAAATGGATCAAAGAGCTTGATATCAAATCAGAGACTCTGCGCCTGATAGAAGAAAAAGTTGGCTCCAATCTACATATTGTGGGGTCGGGCTCCAAATTCCTTAATAGGATGCCCATAGCACAAGAGTTAATAACTAGAATCAACAAATGGGACTTACTCAAACTAAAAAGTATTTTCTCAGCAATAGAAACAATAAGAGAGGTAAATAGGGAGCCTACATCCTGGGAAGAAATTTTTACTCCTCACACTTCAGATAGAGCCCTAATATCCAGAGTGTACAAAGAACTCAAAAAATTAAACAATAAGATAACAAATAACCCAATCAACAAATGGGCCAAAGACCTGAACAGACACTTCTCAGAGGAGGACATACAATCAATCAACAAGTACATGAAAAAATGCTCACCACCTCTAGCAGTCAGAGAAATGCAAATCAAAACTACCCTAAGATACCATCTCACTCCAGTAAGATTAGCAGCCATTATAAAGTCAAACAACAACTAGTGCTGGCGAGGATGTGGGGAAAAGGGTACACTTGTACATTGCTGGTGGGACTGCAAATTGATGCAGCCAATTTGGAAAGCAGTATGGAGATTCCTGGGAAAGCTGGGAATGGAACCACCATTTGACCCAGCTATTGCCCTTCTCGGACTATTCCCTGAAGACCTTAAAAGAGCGTACTACAGGGATACTGCCACATCGATGTTCATAGCAGCACAATTCACAATAGCTAGACTGTGGAACCAACCCAAATGCCCTTCAATAGATGAATGGATAAAAAAAAATGTGGCATTTATACACAATGGAGTATTACGCTGCACTAAAAAATGACAAAATCATGGAATTTGCAGGGAAATGGATGGCATTAGAGCAGATTATGCTAAGTGAAGCTAGCCAATCCCTAAAGAACAAATTCCAAATGTCTTCTTTGATATAATGAGAGCAACTAAGAACAGAGCATGGAGGAAGAGCAGGAGGAAAAGATTAACATTGAACAGAGACATGATGTGAGAGGGAAAGGAGAGAAAAGGGAAATTGCATGGTAAAGAAAGGAGACACTTATTGTTATACAAAATTACATATAAGAGGTTGGGAGGGGAAAGGGAAAAATAAAAAAAACAAGAGAGAGAATTAAATTACAGCAGATGGGATAGAGAGAGAAGATGGGAGGGGAGGGGAGGGGGGATAGTAGAGGATAAGAAAGGTAGCAGAATACAACAGTTACTAATATGGCATTATGTAAAAATGTGGATGTGTAACTGATGTGATTCTGCAATCTGTATACGGGGTAAAAATGGGAGTTCATAACCCACTTGAATCTAAAGTATGAAATATGATATGTCAAGAGCTATGTAATGTTTTGAACAACCAATAAAAAATGTTAACTAAAAAAAAAGGAAAGAGGAGATTGATGAAAAGAGAAGCATACAAAAGTACAATTTGTTACTATATATTTCAACCACAGAAACCTCAAGTTGCAAGGGTTCAAGCATTGCCTCTTTTATGGATTATTCACAATTAAATGGCGCGTAGATTAAAAAAAAAGAATTGTAATGGAAAAAAAAGAGTTCATGCACAATGGCATAATTTAGCGTGAACATACTTTATATGAAAATCGTGCTGTGAATGGGTAATATGAATGTAATGCATTCCACTATTGTCATGTATGTAAGAAATAAATTTTAAAATTTTTCAAAAAAGAAATAAAAGGAATAGTAGAAAAAAAAGAATATTGTTAAATTGTGTGCATGTACAAATATGTAATTACAAATTCCATCATTATGTACAACTATAATGCACTAACAAAAAATGTGGGGAAATTATGTAATATTTTCAATTCACTAGTCATTTGGTTGATTGATTTTAGTGGCAGCTTTTATAAAGTGGACATTAAAGTTGTAATCAAAAGGAAAAGAAGAAAAGCAGAAAAAATATCTTTAATTCTTTAGAGTGCCTTAACATTTTATCACAAATCTTAGCTAGATACAGACTTTCAAATACATAAAATTATGGAATTTACATGGAAACTTAAAATTATAACTTCCATAAAACATCTTTCTGTAGCATTCTGCCATAGAATCTCTTAAAGATATTATCCGAATGCTTTTCCTTGAATACTCCAGACATCTCCATTGTCTGACTCCTGCCCACACAATTGAATTAGGTTTCACTTCTGTCTTCACATAATACTTCATATATACTCCATCAAGTGTTTACTTTGATGTTTTCATTACCAGCTTCTTTGACTGTTTTCATCATGAAATTGTGAGCATCTAAGAATATTATTTATAATCTATAATTAGTACAGTGCCAACTCCATGGTAAGTGTGCAATACATTTTTTTTTCAGATTCAGGATCTCTGAATCTCTCTTTGGAGAAAGATTAGGAAACTTTTCATCTGTAACCCAAGCATGTTTTGTTGGAAGATTCTATAAGTTTAGTCGAATTTCTGAGCTTTAGATGGTAGAGTAGTAGGTTTTAAGAAACTCACATCAAGAAAGTAGGATTAGGCTCACCTTGAAGTATAAGTAGGCTTTATAGAGTCAAATGATATTGGGAAGAATACTCTAGATATTTTAAACACATGTACAAAAGTATAGTGTCTGTGATGGTCAAATAAATAACAATTAATATAGAAACTTTAAAAGAATGTAGATATATCTTATCAGGGTTCTATTAATAATTGATATGAAAACTGCCATTATGATTATTTTGATCCTAATACAAATATGATTTCTCAGATTACCCTTTCCCTATACATGTTTTGGGAAGAAGGGAGATAGCATAGGTAGTATAATGATTCTACTTGGTCATATAATGAGGCTGAGCCTCTTTAACAAACATGAGGAAGGCTTCTCTCCCAGCATAATTACTAGATTCTCCCTTACTGTGTTTCCTGACCTTTGGCAAATTCTTTTTCTTCCAGGTTGCTGCACATTAAGGTGTCTATATATTCTCCATATCAGTATCAAAATTGGCTACTAAAAAAACAGAATGGTTTTAGAAAATTACTGCTAAAATCTATATATTATTAAATTAAAAATCAACACCCTATAGATTTCAGGATAGAAAACATTCTTTAACAAGCCTTAGTATTAAAAGGGCAGTAAAACTTTCAGGATAGAATTCATGAAAGGATGACACATGGTTAAAGGAGGCAAGAGAGTTATGAGTTGGAAAGAATCCAGATTCTGATGAAGGGCTGGAGCTTGGAGAGTCATTAGTTTTTCAATGAAGAGCAAAAACAAGATTGCTATGATTTTCAAAAATAGATTCTAAGGAGTAAAAACAGCGCCCACTCATTTCCCAGTAGACAAAAAGAGAAAAATAGTTCTTCTCAAACCAGATGACTCTACTATTTTCTCAGTCACCACAACTGAGTTTTAAGTTTGCCCCACTAGGGCCATATAATTATTTATTATTTATGGAGTGGCATATATACAGCTCATGTTTTACTAAAGTTTTAAAATTAATTAGCAAATGTCTGGAAAGCGCTTTGAAGATGAAAATTGTGTAAGTGCTAAGTATTATCATTATGCCATTATCATAAAACACATAAAAGTCACAGAATCTTGTAAGCTACACAGGTGGCGAATGACTGTGCTGCATAGCATTCAAGGGGAAGATGGCAAAGGGACAACCTCGGCAAAGAGAGGAGCCATGTACACCTCTGCAAAACAGGTATGTTTCAAAGGGGTGGACAGCAGGAGGGCTTGCCATTGTTCCTCAAGTAAATTTTATGAAGGAACCAAATTTGTTAAAGCAACTTAATTTGTGTTTTAAAGTTCTTAAAAATGAGGTTCTCCCTCAACATTTTGTAGAAATAGAGCAATATAAATCCTAAGCAAAAGAAAAAAATGTTTGAGGTATGTAAATATTAATCATTAAGTTCTGTTATGATCAATTTTTCTGAGGAGTCTTTCAATTATAATCGGAATATTCATTTAAAGTATGTGTGCAATTTCTAAAACTTGAAGATGTTTGGGAGATTTTATCTTTGAAAAGATAACTTCACTATGAACACTGAAAAGATTAAGTTATTTATATCTATTTCCAAAGATGCATACTGATATAGAAATATTAATATTTATATTTGCAATATGCTATTTCACCTACAGAAAGTGTTAGACCAAAGTTTAGGTCTCAATTTTTAATTATTAGAATATTGCACTGCTTATTCTGCTATATGTTTAGAGGTATGATTAAATCTTTTGGTTGGAAACAAGGATGAAAACAAAAAGAGAAGATTTTGTTAGTTTCCATTCTCAATCTCATACTTTTAGAAAGCAACAGAACTGAAGGTCAAAGAAAAGTGCTGACTGGTTCCACAGTACACATAGGTGGACAAATAATTTTTACATTTTTATTCTTAAGCTAATGAAATTAAGACAAAGGTAAATGTTCATATATATTTCTGTCTTACCTAGCACTCCAACAAAATATGAGCAAAATATGAACAAAATAAACCCATTGAAATGCACTCAATTTTTTTTTTTAAAAAGTTTTAGCCAAATTTTTGGTTTCCATATCTGGATGAACAGAATACTATTGGGCAAGATGAATCTCCCAGTAGGATGCTTTAATAATGTTACTTTTTACATTAACATTAATAATTTAGCTTAATTAACTACAAAGGAAGAACTGAAATAGTTTCCATCAAATTAAGTTCCTGTTAATCATTTTGATTATCGAATATATATTAAAAATCTTTCATCTCAGCTTCTAAATAATGTATTCTACTTCCTTCGTATCAGCTTGTTTAGTCTCTTATTTTCCATAAATAATATCTGAGAGAGAATGTATAAACAACCTTAATTTCATCTTTTTAAGGAATTAGTACTTTTAAGTATAACTCACCTGCAAGTCACTGTTTCTAAAATCCCCAAATAATCTATGATATCATTGTCATCTTATCATTATTATACTCAATGACTTCAGCATACCCTTTGTGAATTAACAAAACAGACATGGAAAATTAAGTTATATTGCTAAAATCAAAACAGGTTTTTCTATTCTTCATCTCAACTCCCACCCAAGACTCAATTTCTATTGAATATTAAGTAGTCTACAACCAACATTATAACCAATAATAAAAAGTTTGGAAAATGGAACTTATATACCTGGTATTGATTTTAGAGAATGTTTTAAAGGAAAGAATCTGAATAACAAAAAAGTTAAATTTTCCTTTTAAATTTAGGAATGCACACACACTGCCCCTCACAACACACATACATGGATATTTTTTAAATTAATTAAAGTTTTGGCAGGTAGGAAAAACACCTAAATCTCAGAAAACTAAGGTGAGAATGACAGAAAAAAACTTTCTGCCTTTAAAATCAATTTTTAATCCATTAACCATAATTTTGCATTTGTGAATTAAATAGAGAGGTCACTGTAGTGACCTTAGACTTTGATTGTAAGGTGGGTGAGAGTTGAAAGTTAAAGTGGCCTATACGATTTGATTTAATTTTTCTTCTGGGGATGAGGAGAAAAGAACCTTAATCCAAATTCTAACACTAACCCTAAATATACTAATGACAACCAGCAGACAAATCTCTACCTATACTGCTAATCTTCTCTAGATTTAAAATGTCCCAAAGGGAAAATATTGTTCTACAGTCTCCTCATGTGTAAAATAGGGAAATCCGGATGGATGATTTGCAAAGACCCTTCTAGCTCTACACCAGGGAAATATCTCACTCAAGGAAACTTAAAAGGGAATTTTAAAGTCAAATGATGCTCCATATGAGACAAATTCTCACATACAAGAATTTCTTTTTATATCACCTTTGTAGAAAAATCAGGAGAAACAATGAAAGGTTTCTGAATATCTGTAGCCTGAATTATTCCAAAATTGTCAATATTCAATTTTCTTATCTACAAAAGTAGGAATTTTACATGGTTCATCTATTAGAAGGACACAATTAAAATAGGAAATATACTATAAATATTTGCTACATAAAATTTACCACTCATTTATCCCATTTTCCTTGCGACTTATCCCATGGCAAGATGTCTTAAATAAAATAGGCAAATATATTCCTATGGGTTTGGAAGCAAATATTTTAGAACACATATGCAACTGTAGGAAATTAATTTACCAAGGTTTACTGTACTATTTAGTCAATTGTCTTATGAAAAAATTTAAATACTATTCTAGATTCAGTAAGTTAGTTGATCCAATTGAAAAATTGATCAGGCTGAGGCAAGAGGATTTGCTTGAGCCCAGGAGCTCAAGACCAGAGTAATATAGCAAGACACCAGTTTAAAATGAATAACAACAAAAAAAAATGTTTCTTCTAAGTTTTTGTATTGTGAGGTTTCTTTTTAATTTTTTCCTAATGAACCAAAAAGTTCATGGACATCTTATATATATACAAATAGTGAGATATTGATAGTTACATGCAATTTGAACAAAATACTTTTCAATGATCAGAATGTTTTTCTGAGTATAATGAAATTTCTAAAAAGACTAAGACTTGGAAATGTCACCAGCATTAAAGATCTAGCTAATATTTAGGAAATATCTGTCTGTTTAGGAAATATCATCTGGAATGACTGCTAACTAACTAAAACAATGTTTCCTGATAGATATTTGATTTTATTAGCAAATAGAAATCAAAATAATATAGATAATAATATTAATATAGGTATTAATTAGGTATTACAGTACACCTAGTACATAGTAAACATCTACAAATATTTTTTGAGTGAATAAATAAATATTGATTTAGAATTATTATTATTATTCATATGTACTGAAAAATAAGCAGTCCAAATATTATATCCAATAATTCTTCATTTTGTTTTCCAAGCTTAGCCGTCCACTAAATCCATAATTAATATTAAAAAAATACTTTTACACTTAACATCAAACCCATATTTATTTCTAAGACTCCTATATCAAGCTCATATTGAAACATTCTCCTGTCCTTTTTGCTAAGAAGAACAGAGTCAAAAACGAAAATCAAACTCACAAGATATGGGAAGATTACACTCTGTACCTTAATGTTGGTGATTGCTGCAGTCATCACTGGACTCATTGTCTATTTTGTTGCCTATGGTAAGTATTTATATGTCTGGCTTACAATTGCCTGTATTTGTGGATTCTATGTTGGGAAAATTAGGAATTTTGAAATTAAGGAAATAGGAAATCAGATGAGAGTATTTCCTCACTAACATTTTTGTAGTCTTTGCTCTTGTTTTTAAGGTTTTGTTGAGGTATAATTGATATAAAAAATTGCACATTTTATATACAAATTCCAGAAGCAATGAGCATCTCTTTACAATAACTATTATTTCCTTTGACCCAGTAATTAAACAAGAACAAACAGCTGGACAAACCAAGACACAGCACAAATATTCACTTCTAGACACCTACTTTTCTCTGCTTCAGATTACCCTAAAAGAAAATGATGTGTTTTCTATTTGCTTAATTTTTTGTGCTTAATTTTTATGGATTTTAATAAGTATTCTTTCTTTTTTTAATTTGTTCTAATTAGTTATACATGGGAGGAAGAATAAGGTGTCTGAAACTGTATACAGATTGGAATCAACAAGCTTTCATTTAGTGATGACTTCTATACTTAAGGCAGATACTTAACCAGGTGCTTTATTCAGAGTACAAAAATAAATAAGTATAGCTCTTTTCCAATAAATATTTATACGCAATAAAATTTAAATTTCATGTAATTGTCACATATCACCAATTATTGTTCTTCTTTTGACTTTTTCAACCTTTCAAAGTGTAAAAGACATTCTATGTCCATAGGCCATTCAAAAACAGGTTACATTCGGCTGAAAAGCCATAATTGCAGATTCCTGTTCTAGACCGGTGAATTTTAACCCCAAGTGCACCTAGAATCACCTGTAATGGTGTTTTTAAAAATACTAGTACATAACTGGGAAAGGTGGTAGAAACCTATAATCCCAGTGTCCCTCAAGACTGACATAGGAGAATTGCAAGTTTGAGGCCAGCCTCCGCAACTTAGGGAGGTCCTAAGCAACTTAGCAAGACCTTATTTCAAAACAAAAAGGGATTGGAATGTAGCTCAGTGAAAGAGCACCTCTGGGTTCAATCCCCAGTACCAAATGGATGGATGGATAGATAGATAGATAGATAGATAGATAGATAGATAGATAGATAGATAGAAAGAAGATAGTGATACTGCACTATCTCAAAAAAATTACAAAAAGTTTTTGAATGTATCATCACAAATAAATGATAAGTACTTGAGAAAATAGATATGCTTACACTGATTTGAACATTACAAAGTACATCCATGTACCCCCCAAATATATACAACTATTGTGTCAATTAAAAAGTAAAAATATAGATGGTAGAAGGAGAGGGTCATCATTATACAAAATACATGTATGAAGATGTGAATTTGTGTCATCATACCTTATATACAAACAGAAATATGATAAATTGTGGTATAAAGGTGTATTAAGAATTGTATGCAAAAAAAAATAAGAGAGCCCATGTATAATGGCATAATCCCAGTGTCCATATATACTTTATATACAGAGTTACAAAAAATTATGCTGTGAATGGATAATTATGAATGTAATGCACTTCACTATTGTCATGTATGCAAGAAATAAATTTTTTAAAAAGTAAAAATATAAAAAGTAAATTAAATTATATTTCCTGACACTAACAAATATGAAAAAAATACCAGTACATAAGCTCTACTCTAAAAGATACTATCTTCAGTAGAAACCAGACTCTTCAGAGTTTCCCAGATAGTTATACTGCACAGCCAAAGTTGAAAACCACTGACCTTTAGGAAGACAGACACAGATCCAGACACACATAAATTCAAAGGTCAGTGACCCAGATTCACTACACTATTTCAAGGTGTTAGGGACCCAGGCTCCTCATATTTTGTTGCTCTATCATACGTTACCTAAATTGCCAATGTCATTTCAATGTCCAGTTATAGCTATCAGGTCCAAATTCCAGATAGCCAGAAAATAGAAGAGGAGAGAGAAGAGCAGGTAATCTCTCAATAGGAAAGTATCACAGAAATTGCTAACACATCATTGTTCTTTTGTCAGAACATTCCATTTGTCAGAACATAGATGCATAAGGTTACTCCTAGATGTTACAGAAGATGGAAAATATACTTTTTATATTAGGATAGCATCTGCTTGATTAAAAATAACAGATTATATTACCATAGAAGAAAGTATATAAAAATACATAGTTTCTGCCTTAAGAAGTTAATATTATATTGCAGTAGTAAGTTTTTGAGTGCTTAGTAAGGAAATTGACAGATGAACTTTCCTATAAAGTTTATTGATATGCATGGAGAATGTTAAACTTTCTAATTTTCTCATTAATGTTATTTTAAGACATTATTTGCAAACATTGTGCTGATTATAAATGGAAACTCAGCCTGCAAAATAGCAGCTTTATTTTCAAAGAATAGAAAATGAAAACAAAGCATCAGAGTCCAGGCAAAACAAATACCTCTTCAAATGCAAATTTATTTGTTCTGCCTTCTTTCTTCATTGTCCATGGACCAAAATGATAAGTATGTGTTACTCTTCCTATATTGTCTCTTCAGTGCCAAGTTTAGTATTAATTCAGATTTTATAAAAAGCATCTCTGACCCTCCAGAGATCCAATAATGAGAACATGGCCTGCAGACCTTCTCTCAGCAAGTTTTAAATGTATATAACAGAAGCTGAGGCCCAGGCTGAAGACATTAAAGGTGATCCATCTTCTAAGATTATTCCTGTCAATAGTGGGAATAATTGGCTTCCACCAGAACCCAGTTCTGAGAAAATAAGTCACTGTGTGTGAGAAACATCTAGGTGTGGAAACCATGGAGAGACAAGTGCCCTGGTACTTATCAGTTAATTGTAAGCCTACACATTTATGTATGTATCCAACAACAAAAAGGAAAGAATTCCTTGAAAAGTCAAAATTAAAATTATATATCTAAAAGGACAACTGACATATTTTTTAAAAGTCAACATAAATACATTTTCTTGAACAACCGTAGATTATTTTAAAGTAATTGTTTAAGGAAGATAATTACTGAGGCTCGAAATCTTCCTTGAGCTTTAAACCTTTATCCATAATGTGGCCTGGATTATTTGAAAAATATTACTCTTATGGGAATCAAAAAAATCAATAAAAGTAACACTTTAAGGGATCTTTTGTCCTATTTTTTTCTGCCCATGTATATATTAGATTTGAAGAAGAGGAACTAATCCTTTATGATAGCACTCTGTTAACTCCTCATAATGCCAATGGCAGCACTCTATTTACCTCTATCTTTTTAAATTTCATTCTTGGTGCTCTAATAGGATAACAGAGCTGGAGAATGGTTTCAGTCCTTAATGTCTGAAATTCATTTAGTAGTCCAATGAGTTAACATAACCTAATACTGCCCCCATGTTTCTTGATGCACAATCTGATGTAGACAACACTGATATTTCTAATAAGTCATAAAGTTTCTGTGCAAAGAAATATATAGCAACAAAATAGTATATTTCCTTCATATTATTCTAAATAAAACAATTGACAAGGGAATAATAAATATAAAAAATATAAAACTTAAACATTGAAGAAAGAATAAAAAAATTAAATTAAGAGAGAAAAGAATAGAAAAACAGTAGTGAAAAGTAGTAATTACAGAGAAAGATTCTTTGAAATTAATTTTCTAATAAATAATAATATTCAATAAGATGTATGAAAAATATAGAAAAACATAAATAAGAAAACAAACTCTTGATAATCCTACTCTCTAGTCAGAATCACTCACTATTTTGGCACATTCCCTTCTTTGTTATTTTCCTTTCTGTGCATTTTCAAGACATTAAATATTATTCTTAATATTGATTTTAATGATTACACAATATTCTATATCATAAGCAGATCATACATTATTTTGTTAATTTTTTACTTTAAGCATTTAGGTTATTTCTAATTTTTTATGTTACTTTAAATAATTCATTTTATACATAGATTTGTATAAAACTCATTACATTGAAAATGAATTATAAAAAGAGGAATCATGGAATGAGAAAAGATGTTTTTCAAGCTTTTAATAATATTACCAAATATATGTTTAATTTTCATTCCTATGGGTAGTCCATAAGAGTGCCTGATTTTTTTTATTGTAATCTTTGCCAACGTAAGCCCATCAAAAATGCTATCATATTTTACTTTGCACATCTTTAATTATTGTGAAAGGACATGGAAGTCTATCCCAAATAATTAACTGCAGTCACTGACAAGAAAAATTTTCTCCAAAAAAAATTGCAAAATCCTTTCCTTCTTCTTTTTAAATTTTTCTCCCTTCCCTTCTTTCCTCTTTTTCTCTCATATTATCTCCCTTCTCCCCACACTCCTCATCTCCCTTTTATTTGACCCTCTTAGTCTACAGAATGGAGGGAAACAATGGAACCTGAAAAATTAACAAGCATTTATTTCCTACTAATTTTATATGTATTCAAATAGAACAGTGTAATGTATCCCTCATTCTATTTCCTTTGCTTTTCTTTCTAAAATTATAGGTTTCATTTCTTTGTTCTGCTTACTTAATGCTGAGTACTTACAAATGATGCCTCATTCACTTTCAACCTTATTCATTTTAATTTCTTAGGTATCTCACAAACAATAAACCTTGTAACTTTACTGGTTTTCCTAAATGTAATCTGTGGCAATCACAAAAACTAAGATAATTACTATACTTTGATGTAATTTCTTTTCATAATAACATATCTGTCTCCAGATTGCCCAAACTTGAAAACTGGCACATTAAAATTTTTGAATATACTTTTGGGTACAGTTATATAGTAATTAACATTTTTCTGTCAAAGCAATTTTAACAATCATTGGTATTGGGCATCAAAAATATTGGGGGATGGGGCATCAAGACTATTTAAATGTCAAGTAACCTGAAATTTTATTAGGGCATTCTATTTCCCATGATTTTCTTGAAATGAGAGCAGTTGCAAAATGTTCAATGTGGAATCTATTTTTTCTTTTCTCTCCTTCTAAGGAAAGACACCTTTCTACTATCACATCAGCTTTAAAATCAACAATATTGACTATGACAGCAAATTTGCAAAACCCTATTCACAAGAATATATGGACCTAAATAAAAAGATAGTATCTTTGGTAAGTGTAAATCATTTTTTTTCTGCGCATTGTTCTTTAACAGTTATGCTCCTAGAAGGATCCTAGCAATCAACTTCAAAATGGGAAGCAATTTCTAACCATTACTTTAGTTCTACATTACAATAGTCAGACCTTTCAGAAAGTCAATTTGAAAATGTATATGACATGACTTCAAAGTAGATTCTCACCGTGCTGACCCCTGCCCAAGTTCAGGATGTGACTATCTAGCACCTGCTTGAACCTAGGACTGTGGTCAACTGAACTGCGAAACTAATGCTATTTTAGCTTCTATTTATCCCTTGCTTGCTGACTAGAAAATTCCAGTCCTGCCAACAGCCCACAGGTCCCACTTATTAATATTTTAATTTCTATGGTTGGCTAATTTACACGACAATAAGCAAGTCACTGAGTTGTGGTTTTTGTGCTTTTATTCTCCTTGGATGGACCAGGAAACTGCTGTCCTCCCTCAGAGCTTAATCTATGGTGGGTGACAGTCCCTGGCCAGGTAAATAAAACTCTCTTTTTATTTGAAAAAAATAATAATAATAAAAATAAAAATGTATATGATAGAAAAAATATAAAAGGAACAAACTTCAAGAACACCTAAGAAATGCCTGACACCTAAGTAGTCAATTAATATTTCAAAATAATTAATAAATTAAATGAATAAACATAAATCCCACCTCCAAGATACATGACTAAGGCTGCTGTTTCTGCTCCTGAAACTAAATAGTCCTTTGAGAAAGAGGAATAGCAATCTGAGAGAGCACATGGCCCCAAATAAAAGATCATCTTGCAGCCCCATGGTGTTGAGTGACAATTATAAAATGATTGAGAATATGCTTTGTCATAATTAAAGTTTACCTGACTGAAAACTTAGTGGAGAGTCTTAACTGTGCGTTGGTCGTAGCATCTGTTAACACAGATACCACTCTAATTAACTCAAGTGATTCTATCAAACAAAATCCTATCAAGAACACTGTTGGCCTCTTTTATCTCCCATTTCCCAAGGCAGATTCCTATAGGCCATCTTCAGACCTTGCTCTAACAGTGTAGTCTTTCCATAACACTCCAATATCTCCTGGTTTCTAATAAGTTCAGAGTTTCTGAAAGTCCTGTGTGCTTTTATCATTATACTAAGGGTTAGTTGATAGTAAATGGAAACAGAAAACCCCATCTTTAGCTTAGCTTTATGATAAAAATAAAATAATAAAAAATAAATATAATACAATGCTTAAGATATATCTTTGGACTCGCGGTCCTTGTTCAATTCTAAACTTGAACTTTTACTAGCTGTATAAACTCAAACAAATTTCCATATACCTCAGTTCCTTCTACCAAAAATGAGATCACAAATACTTATATAGTAGGGTTGTTTTAAGCATTACATAAGATGAAATATGCCACAATCCAAGCAGAAGTTCTATCATTCTCTAAGCCTGAAGAAGAAGAAGAAGAAAGTCTAAAAATAATTTGTTAAAATGAGAGTATCATTAATGTTGTTAATAAACTCTAAGAATATAACAAATTTAATATATAACTTTAAAACAGTTCCAAAGATACCCACACAAAGAAAATCATTCAGTGATAAATTCACACAAATTTATTCAAGTCAATTAGTCTATGTTCGTTCTGCAAGTGAATATCTGAATTAAAATAATATTTAAATAATAAATTAAAAATATCAGTCTGACTAATTATTACATTGTTCTAGTCAGTCAACCACATCTTGACATCTTGCTTCAGGCTCCTTTAAAAACTCTCATTCCTAGTTTCTAACTCACCTGTTTGAACGCTTACCAGGTATTTCTCATACTTTTTTCATTTACATATGTCAGAATGCTTGCTTTTACATGTCTTCCTGTTTTCATTGAATACAATGATGCTTTATGTATTATAGTTATTACCATATGCAGCATATTTGTAAGTACAATACTGGTGATAATAACACATACAAAATGGAGCTATGAATCATTAGACAAACCAGTTAGTCATTATTATAATACCAATAGGCTATTTTTTTCTGATTTTCACTATATAACACTTGGGATGATTTTTACTGAAATAAAATAAATTGGGGAAATAAATTGGATCAGGAGAGATGTTACTTTACTATGAATGATAGTTTTTTTAACTGCAGAGGATGGCCTTGATAGGAAATATTTTAAAATTTAAAATATGTGATTTTTTTTTTAATGAACAACTCAAGAAATCTCAATTGTCCTCTTATCTTTGTAGCTCTCTAGCAATATAATGTCCAATTAAGGTAAAAATAAGTTCTAAAAATTAGGAATTGAACAATTATTATTAACAATAATAATTACATTAACTAATTTTAGTATAGTCTAATCATATTATGTACTCATATTCCTCATAACATTTTAATTTTTGTATGAACAAATGGAGACATTAAGAGATTAATTTATCCAAAGTCATACTGCTAGTGGGCTTCCAATCTATGACTTTTTGTCCTATAATTAAAGAGCATATAATTCTTATAAAATCTTAATAGACTTCAGATTAAATAAAGTTCCCATTGCCAAATTTTCTGAAATGTTAATAAGATTCAGTACTGTTTACACATATAAAGGCATTGTATTATAGATTCTTAAAAGAACCTGATACGTTTAAGTAACCTAAGATAACCTATATGAGTTGTCCAAACCAACATGCTTACATGTCAACATTTTCCACTAAGCTAACATGAACCTGCTGGGGCATATGTACTTTTATACATATTTTATACATATAACTTTCTTTAGAATACCCTATCAAATGACAGATCCTTAATGAGATGCAATAAAAACATTGGTAATTGTCAGATCTCCTTTTCCATTTAATATAGGTTAGTAGTATCTCAGTTTGAGTGAAGATTATCTTTGTGTTCATTCAGTTTCATACCACTCAAAATATATCAGAAAACTACTATGAATTCCAAGATGGTCTTAATTTAAAAAACTACTATACTGACAATTTTAAAATAAAATATTTAACTAAAAAATTAAGAGAAAATTATTATCAGCTAAGTTTTTAGCACTAAAGGAATTAAGAAGTTCCAAACTTTAATAAAAAGTACAACCAATGTTAGAGAGCTATTATTCTTATTTGAAGTGATACAAGACAATTTATAAAAAATTAATGATATAATTGTGTTCTTTTCTACAACTGGAAAAAAGGATAGATGTAATAAATCTTAAATGCTCAGGATATCTGAACACACAGGGAATCACTATAAAGTAATGGAAGAAACCGTACACCATTTTCACTTCATAACTGGGAATACAAAACTACAAATGTAATATTTCCTTTATATCCATTTTTTAATCATTTGTCATGCAGAGGTAGTATTACTCTGCCTTGATTACAATACATCATCTTGTTTATTATACACTTCACAGTATAATTTAACAATATAACATCACCACCATAAAAGTTTTTCTATACATTTACGAGCTCAATTAAAAGAGGAAATTTTAAAGATCTGAATTTTTATATAAAACAATTATAAGAATAGCTTTTAAAATATTTATATTAGCAAATTATAGTTTTATATAATAATGGGGCTCATTTTGATATAATCATACATGAATAGAATACAATTTGCTCCGTTTCAGTCTAAAATACTTTTTCTTTTCCATTCCTTCCTTCTTCCCCCATTCTCCTTCATCTACTCTACTGGTTTTATTTCTTTTTACTTATTATTTTATTTTAATTGATGCTTTATAGATATACATAAAGGTGAAATTCACTGTGGTATATTCATATATGTACATAGCATAATTGATCAATTTCATTCCACATTCCATAATTCCCATTCCATAATTGATCCAATTTCATTCCTTTTTTTCTTTGGCCCTCTTTCTTCCCCCTCAATCCCTTTCCTCTACTCCACTGATCTTCCCTCTATTTTCCTAGATTTCCTTCTCATAAAATAATATCTTACACAGTAGTATACTGTTACTGCACTAAAATTGGGAGTTTAGGAGGTTAGAAATTCTTTAAAAGGAGGGATACAATTACTTTCTAAAGTCATTTTCCTCCTCTCTTAAGTGGTATTTTTTTATCTTTAGACCTTGTACTTTATTATGAAATTTTCAAAGAACAGTCTCTTGTATTTTTTATTTATTTTTTAGTTGTAGTTGGACACAATACCTTTATTTTATGTGTTTATTTTTTTAAGTATTTATTTTTTAGTTCAACACAATATCATCTTTATTTTATTTATTTTTATGTAGTGCTAAGGATTGAACCCAGGGCCTCACACATGCTAGGCGACTGCTCTACCACTGAGCCACAACCTCAGCCCCAATCTCTTGTATTTTTAATGTACTTTCTTAATATAACTACATATTTGGGCTTTTATCAAGTTCTTCTGTTTATTAAAAACATGTAATGACTGGTACTTTAGGCCTGATATCTTTGAAAAGTATTATAATGATCCATTTCTCACCCATAAGTAATTTTAATATCATAAATGATAATGATTTTTTCAGTTTGTTGGCCCATTCTTGAGATCATTAGCTTCAGAATCTTTCCATCATCATAATCTAGAGCTTCCTTCTACACATTTATGTAGCAGTGGCGCAGATGGCATTTTATCATTTTACTTTATGGGGAAGGACAAGAAGAGGGCAGAGTGACATGAAGAAAATATTAGATCTATATGGTATTAAAGAGCAAGATTTGGAGTTGTGATATGGGTGTCATTTGAATTTCACATCTTGTTATTCCTCATTTCTGGGGGAAAAAAAAATAGTTCTGAATTTCCTGCTCAAGACTTTGTCCAATAATCCTAATGGGATCCTGATACTTGTCATTAAAGGGTCTGAAAAGAGATTAAGCTTCTTAAAAACAGGAATTACATGAGTAATCTGGGAAAATTTCCATAACTCCACCTTACAATGTCTTTGAACAACCTCAGCATAAAGTTAAAGTCTTGGCATTATTTAAGGTATATGTGATCATTTGAGCTACTGTAAAATTTGAGAAGATTAATACAA